GGAATCTCCTTTCGGTAGTTTTGGAACAGGAGCTGAGGCCATCTGTTTAAACAATGCTTTGTAATTTGCCCGTTTCTTGCCCAGAGCTGTTTCTTTCCTCTTGTAAGTGTCCATAATGGACCTTTATGCTTTATTTTCCATTTGAACCTCCTCTTGCCTGGCCAGTGTTTCTCTTCCTCTGGCTGAGTGCTGCATAAATCCACAGTTTCAGTGGTTCCCTCACTTTCCTGGTCCTTGAAGTAGCCTCAGACTATTGAGGTTTTCTAAAGACTTTCAGTGCCAAACTAAGAGGAAAAAAAAATCAAGGCCAAGCAAAGCTCCATCCTGTGCCACCATGGGAACCAGACCCTTCCATCCTGGAATCCAGTCCCTGCAGTAAGGGGTAAAGTCTTAGGAAGCAATGTGAGGAGCTAGAAAATGAGAGTATAGATGCTCCAGATTCACTGAATGGCCAGGACGTAGAACTGCAGCTTTGTTCCTGCTGCTTGCTGTGGCCAGCACCAGCATTGCAGCTGTGTGACAAGTTACCTGTAAGAGCGCCAGTTTGGATGGAAGAGAAAGGGAGCGAAGGACCATGAAGGGGCCAGTCACAGGCAACTGAAAGGAAAGGAAGGAAGCCTCAGTGTACAGTAGGGAATAGGCCTGAGTGGTTCCTGGTAGCTTCGCTGGCCAAATCTTAAGGTCTGCTGTGGCTCACAAACTGACCACTGCTGCACATATAGACGAGGACCCTTATAGTGGTCAACATGTTGATTATACCAAAAGGTGTTATTTGTGGCATTTTATTCCAAATTTTGTTTACTCCACAGGGTTCAGTTTCTGCTGGTGGGTGGGGGAGGAGTGGATACTGAAACAAATACACTCATTTTCTTATTCATTTTTCTTTTTCTAGATGCATATGCTTAGGATCAAGTGCAGAAACTTTAAGGAGATTTTTAGGCCATTAGCCTGAGCTCCAGAAACCTAAATAGGTTAAGCGCACCATCTCCGTCAGCAGGCCAGTTAGAGGTCAGTTGTGGTGGAAACAGAGAGCAGAGAAAGATACAAAAGGATCTTGTGTTCCCAAGTTCATTTTAGGAAGGCTGACATGACATTTAGGTTCAGTAAAGGACAAGGGGTATGCGTAATTAAGCAATCCTTGTCAATGCATGGTGCTATTAAGCTCCATGATTGCTTCCGCTCCGGTCTCTCAAGGTGTTTCCATAAAATACTAATCGTTGTCATTACATGTGGAGACCCTCTGGTTTCTGCACAGTGACTACTTTAGTTCCAGGGGCAGTCTCACCTTCATGGATAATTGTCTATACTGGTGTGGTGGGGGGTGCGGGGAGAGGGTGGGGAGAATCTTCCCTAGAGATCTTGCTCTCCTTGGAATCCAAGGTGACCAGGTTTAGGACAATGACTTATCTGTGTGACTTCAGCCTGGAAGGATGACATATGTTAGGTAGGTAGACTCAAGTAGGAACATGACCTGACCCAGAATAAAGGAGACAGACACCAAACGAAGGCTGAGATGCCAAGTGTTCATCTTTCACTTAGTTTTCTGTGGGGCCACCCAACTGAGATCTCAAAACTACAGTGAAAGCAGCTTCTGTGTGCCTTCATGATAGGCTCTTCTACTGGCCTTGCATTCTTACAAGCTAGGAGGAGAAGAAACAAATTTCACTAGCTACACCTCTGTAGTAACTTAGACACAGTGCAGTAGGCTGCTGCTTCCCTTATGCCAACACATAGCTATCATTCCTAGAATGACAGACTCCTTGGTATTTGATGCCCATTTGGTGGGGAAGCATGTTTTAAAGGAATGAAAGGGAATTTTTTTACAGGTTTGGAGTACTGACTTTTATATAGCTAGGGAATACAAAAGCAAGATTTTCATAAATGACACAGTAATAACAGTAGAATTGATTACTGAGAGACCTGCTTATGCACCAGTAAAATTAGTTAGGTCTGCAAAACTAAGAAGCCAGGGTTGGTTCCTCCCTCCCTCCCCCCTCCCTCCCTCCCCCCCTCCCTCCCCCCCTCCCTCCGTCCCCCCTCCCCCCCTCCCTCCCTCCCTTCCTTCCTTCCTTTTGTATCCTGACTGAAGTTTCCCCTCCTTCCTTGTCTCTCCTCTTCTCCTATGCCCCCACCCACTCCTCCTTCTTCTATTCAGAAAAGGGCAGGCCTCCCATGGATATCGCCAAAACATGGCATATCAAGTTGTAGTAAGGACTAAGAACCTTGCCTTATATTAAGGCCGGGCAAGGTGACTTAGCATGAGGAATAGGGTCCCAAAAGCCAGCACAAAAGAGTCAGAGACAGCCCCTGTTCCCACTGTTAGTAGTCACTCAAGAAGACCAAGCTACACAACTGTCACATATATGCAGAGGGCCTACGTCAGTCCCATGCAGGCTCCCTGGTTGTCCATTCAGTCTCTGTGAGTGCCTATGATGTCAGGTTAGTTGATTCTGTGAGTTTTCTTGTGACTTCCTAAGCCAGGGTTTTTACATGTAAGAGATGTGTCCTCCTTTGACAAAGTCTACAGGTAAGGCCAGGTGGGTCCCTTTCTACTTCGTATTAAACTGATAATAAACTGCCTTCCCCATGCACTAAGGCATGCTGAAACTCATCTCCTCCCTGTTACTGCTCAAAACTCTAATAGCATTTGTTTGCACACTCACTGAAGTTGGAAAGATAAAAAATGTATTTTCTTCTAATTGAGCATCTACCATTTCACGTAGGAACAGGCTAGAAAGCCAGGGAAAAATGCCTGGTGACGGATCGAGTACCCTAAGTTAGAGTTGCAGCCACATTGTGAAGTAATGCATGGGCTAGCCTCAGGTCAACAAGTTTTAACTATCATCATCAGCAAATAGACACCAGAATGTAGTGTAGAATGGAAGGAGGAGAGAGAAGCTTGGGATTTTTTTCTTTTTCTTTTTTGTTTGTTTGTTCAGTGTGTGTGTATTTCCATTATTAAATTTGGAAATTGTAGAAACTTAAGGCAAGTCTGATTGAGGCCAACTCTCTTCAGCATGTTTTAAATGAAATTGATGTGTCCTCTTATATTTCACTCTAATAGCTTGGCTCTTTGGGAAACCCACATATTCTGAGATAAATTTTCTCAACCTACACGGGTCAGGTTTGGTTGTACATTGGGCCCGACTTGAATTTACACACCAGATGACCCTCAGTTAAGCGCATTCTCTCTCAGAGTAAGAATGGAGAAAAACTGAATGTCAGGGCAGGATGTACAGAGCGACCTTTGGACCTTTTCCTCTCCTAACAGTGGAAGAGAACTGTTGTTTATGGATGGAGCCAATGACCTTAACCTTACGGCCACAGCATCCTTTCCTAAGTCACTACTCTGTGCTTTTCTTTTCTTCTTTTTCTTTCAGCAATTCAATAATATCAGAGGGATTGATTCTTCTCAGAATTTAAAGTTTTATTTTAATGATCATATTGAGTAATCATTGAAAAAAATACCTTAAATAGAAATGTTTCCAGAGGCAGATACAAACCAATGTATATCATAAACATTATAGTTATTTGCATGTTTCCAATATAAAGCAGTAAACATATTTAAATATTTGTGCCTATGTTGTGTCAGAACACCTATTGATAAGTAATGAATTCAGTTTATTTATTTAATACATTAAAAACCAAAAAATTGAAAAAAAAATACCAAATATTTGAATTTTTAAAAATGTTTTTTTAAAAAATAAACTCTAGCAAACCAAGTATTGCCTAAAAGCATTGTGTCCCCATTAATCAGGTGCCTCTTACTATTAGAATGAGTTGATACACCTGTGTATGTCAGTCTCTAGTTATATGATTCAAACAAAATCATGACTCTAAATTTATTGATTACTTCATCCACTGGAGAAATAGCACTTAAACTTTAAGTGTAAATGTCACATTCAGACTCAGTTTTTTCCTCAGATTACTTACATGCATATTGCTTTAGTTTTCCAACTGTTTTTGTTCAAATGATCCCTGCATAATGTACAGTTAACTAAACAAATATAAAAATATAAGGATGACACTAGAACTTCACTTTATAATTAACTACTAAAATGTTATGATAAGTATTAAAGCCTTGCTTTTCCCTGAGTTCCTGTGACTGCCTTCCCTTCCCTTTCAGTCCTTTTTGGCAAGTCCTATGTCTTAAATAGTCTAGTATTGCTCAGTGAATATAATCAGTTTAAGCCCTGTACACTTAAACGGGATATATATATATATACATTATATATATAAACTGTGTGTTTATGCATATATATACATATAAATATATAAATATCATATAGGTTTATGAAAACACAAGGAAACTTGTTAAATGTTAGCCTCAGCTTAACCACAATAAGCCAGATTTAATACCCTTCTTCTTTTGCAGTGGCCACTTTTTCTATTCAGCATATTTTCAGCAGCATCTTAGTAAATTATAGCAAACCATCATTTATAATAAAACTGGACCTTATAGTAAATAAACCAAATAAATTATAGATACTAGTTGCACAAATCTATGTTGTATTTATTAGTCTAAGGAAGTTATTAGAAACATTCAAAACCAAGGGACAATGGAAATAACACCTTTGACGGAAGTAAAGTAACTTTCGGTGAAATTTCACAGCTATTACCAATGGGCTTTCTTTTACAGAGATTCAAATCAATATATAGAAATAGAGCCTTTTAGAATTACTAAGAGTAAAAATAAAAAGCTTTTAAAAATTGCCTGGAAAGACCTTGCCAGCAACCTGTAGTAACAGTACAGCTCACTTTACACGGAGCATTGAAAGACTTCTTAACAAACGCCCTTTGTTCAGGACCTGACAGTGCTGTGCAATGGGAGGGAACCCACTCCCCTGTGGCTTTGTTTTTCCCCTGGAATGACAGTGATGGAGCACTTGCATGATGTGTTGGTGCCTTGCATGAGGAAGACATGCAAAGGCAAGGTCCAGTCTGCATGCTGCTTAATGAATGTTTTTCCTTTTCTCTCCTTCCCTGTCATGTGCTTTCAGAAGACAACAATGTGGAAGGTGGGTGCTTTCTACCTTATTTTCCAACTCCCCTTTGCTTTTTATTTCTCAGTATTAAAGAGTACATCTCGAATATAGACGGTAAGTTGACTTTTCTGATCATCCGTTGATTTCTAGTTGTGTATCCCCTTTGCATATGGAACACAAATGCACCCTCAACCCCACTAGTCTCAGGAATAAAAACGCCTTCAATCTTACTTCCAGTGCCTAATACATTTCAGCAGCCCATATGAGCCTTAGAATAATTAATGCAGTGTTCTGTATGGAAAAATGATACAGCGCTACTTCTTTTATTTAAAAAAAGAAAGTGTTTCTTTGCAGTTTCTGACACAGTGCATGATCCTGTCTCCATTTTTTTTTCTTTTTTTGAGCAAAGTAGTTTCTTTTCTGTTGGACATGTTTACCATTCTGTCATTTTAATCTCCTTGGTTTGTTTCAAATGATTCAAATGATAAAAGATCATAGATAAAACACTGAGAATAAGAACGAAACATAAATTTAGATTGAAGTACAAGTCATTGCCAGTGGAAATGAAAGCTCACAGTTCTGCCTTGAGATCATGGGTAAGTATATTCACAAACATAAGTGTATGTGAAAACTAGGATGACTGATTTGAGTTTTCTTAGATTATCTCAATCATGGAATCTTGAGAAAGCTATATATTTTTACCATTGGTTCCTACAAGCATATTTCAACATTTTATTGTTAAAGAACTTGAATGAAGTAGTCACGATGCTACCAACCAAATCTTGAAAAGATAAACACAAAATGTATTAGGTGCAGCTGAAGAATAGACAGCCAAGTTTCTCATCTTTTCCCGCACATCTTTTAAAAAGTGGTCTTGCTGTGTAGCCCAGCCTGTAGACATCCACCTTGCTTTACCTACTGAGTACAAGCACATATATAATATACATAATATATACATTATATACTCACAGCATTAATAGTTGTGGGCAATGTGTGAACATGTATGTGTCAAGAGATGACTTTTAACATAAATCTACTTTGCTGCAACAGTTTGAAATGCAGCAATTCCATAAAAAAAAGAAACCCTACATTTCTACAGATGAAGGATTTCTTGAAAAATTACTCTAGTGGAAGTGAGAATAGTATAGTTGAGGTGACAAAGGGGTCGTTTCTCTTTGAAAAGAAGACTTCACTGTAATACCACATTGATTAGTAGCAAGGTCAGCATCAAATTTGTGATCTTTTCATCGTCAATAATTGTTAATGAAGTATTCTGATATTCAAGCAAAATAGATGAAAACTTCTGAAGGAACAATATGTCATTTTGCCCAAATGTTGGCTTTGTATATCACTTCTGATTTTTTTGTCTCATAATTTTAATATTGTGAACATACACTTGTGCCCCTTAATTGAATTTGAAATTTGTAAATTTTTCCTTTGCATTTTTAAACTGTTCTGTAAAATGTTCATTCTTTTTTCCTCTCTTTGAATCTTTAAGGGACTTTAAAATCAATCTAATTAGTAGAAATGCTTCTCCGTAATCACAGACTCATTTGGTGCAAGGCATTGATAAGATACTCAGAATATAAGCCCCTAATATGTTATAATAAAGTTATTAAATCATAATTTTAATGTCTCTGTTTACAGTGTAACTTTAAGAATGCAGCCAAGCTCCTTTTAGAGGCAGAAATGGAACAGGGGGAATAGGAGTCTTTGGAGGATTTATTAATTTCCTTTTTGATGCAGTGTCAAAACCGCCACAAGTTTCTAAGTCTCTTTTCTAAACTTAGGGCTCCATAAATGTTAGATCATACCAGAGATAATTTTCTGATGTAGTCTATAAAACAATGCTAGAAATACAAACATGTTATTAACTAGAAATACATACATTCATATATATATATATATATATATATGAAATTAAATGGAAAAATTTTAAAGCCTGAACAAATGAACCTCTTCTTCACCATATAATAATTGAATTAATCACCATATAAAAATATTTTTATTCACGTTTTGATTATTTTTTTGAAATCACTTTAGAAATACTATGTTCCAGAAACATCATACTTCACTGTTAAAAGAATTTCCATATTATGTTGTGATTATATGACAGTTTCTAGTTGTATCTGCCTTACCAAGATGTCAGAATAAACTTATGAGTTTGAAAAAGCAGATTGGAGCAACTGGTGCATGTTGTTTCCAAGTTCAAAGTTTCAGATATATCTGAGGCAGCACTAGAAATTGAAAAGACAGATTTTTAAACTTGATACTGCATTTCTCTAATTGTATATCAAATTCTTGAAATGTACCCAGAAGTTGTAGCTTTATTTCTGAGTTGAGACTAAGCACCTATGACTCATGATTTTCAGAAAAAGTAGTGTTTTAGGTGTCTAAAGAGCTTGCTAAGATGATCCCAATGGCTGGGCATGGTGGCACTGTGAGAGCCTGAGACATGAGGGCTATGAATGAGGTTGTCCTAGGTTACATATTGAGACTATGCTTCAAAACCAATCAAAACAAGAATATTTACAGTTTTCTTTAGAAAAATAGTGATCTTCATGAAAATTTCTTGGTGACATTATGTCTGCAGCATATAGCTTAAATAAATAAAGGAACATGAACACAAATCAACATTTAATTAAAATAATAAATAATTTTGATTCCTGTGAATAATTAATTGAACCTATTTAAAGCTTACCCATTGTTTCTTAGAAACATGATTGTGTCATAAATCCAAGCTTTTCAACTGCATGTCTAATTACCTTGGTTTTGCATTTGAGCAGATATAATCACTTGCCACGTGTGTCAGACCAGGAGACATTTCTGCATTGTCATTTCAGTGTCACTAAGGGCCTGCCCCACCCCCACCCACATTTAATTATCAAACTTCTCATTTTTGAAGAGAGGAAAAAGATCAGACCCAGCCCATGTTAAAGACATTCCTTGGGATGTTTATAAAATATAATTTCATCACGGAACCATGGCAAGCCCTATAGGGACAATGTTCCAAATGTTATCAAAGGGCAGGAAGGGCAGGTGCACTGTTTAAGGGACCGGTTGGATTTAAATCAGGCTCTCATATTTTTGCTTGTTCTAACTAATACTTAGAATACACAGCACAGCATGTGCTGGTGTTTAAATTGCAGTTTTATAACTCTTTGCCCCAAAGCATTCCAACCAAGGGTTGAAAGAATGTTTTCGATTTGCCTCTGTGATAGAGACATGTCTCATAGGAAGCAAGATGTCTGTCACTGAACATTTTTGTCACCGTGACAACCTGCCTTCCCATGCTCCCTTGTTTATTGCTGACTGTGCTCTTGTTTCCCTTTAAGGTCTGGCGCACCTGATGATGGGCGACCAAGGTATGGGCTCTGCTCCTTTTCCACTCTGCTTTCAGTGTGTTCTTGTTCTGTAGCTGCTTTCAAACCATCGCTGCAAAGTATGGGCGGATGCTTGGAAATGATGTGGCTGCAAATGAAATACATAGCTTTTGTTCACCTTATTTCTTCCATGGTTTTATCTGCTTTGATTTGTTGGTTTGATGTTGGTTTGCTCCTGTGACTTGTTTCCCTCCATCCCTTGCACTGTAACATCTGCAAACAAATAAGACGTAAGAACTGCGGCTGAAACCTTTGCTTTACTGATCAGTGTTATGTGGGAAGAGTGTTTACAGTAGAGGAGCACCGAGAGCGGTCAGGAGCTAATGTCTGAAACAGCCAGGCTAATCTGCTACATCAAGATTCCATTCTTCATCCATGCATGGCAGTTTGGGAACTTGCAGACAGCTTTGGCTCTTGGCTTCCAGAGTGCTGATTGTTAACATTCCATGCAATCGATACTTTTCTACCTATGGCCATTGAGATCCTTCTTTGATGTAATCTTTTATCATGAGCATGGGCTTCCAATCCCTTGCATGTACCTGCCTGCAAAAACAGGCAGAGTTCTCAGAATGTACGGACTGCCTTTCCATTTGTCTTTAAAACATTGTTTATGCTTTCTTGTCTTGTTTATTTTTCTGAAAGCAGTGCATTTACATATATTCATAATTCTTCTTGTTGTTTTTCTCCTCTTTATTCTCTTTGTCTGGAAATCCTTTCTTCATGGACCCATTTCATCAAATGCATAGGTAAAAGTAAAGGTACTACATTATTTTGTTTCTTAGTATCATCTGTGTGGATTACAGTGTGTCTAAGTTATGCAAATGTATGTAGACCTTTGGCATTGGTGAAAGGTACTGGGAGGTAGGTATGTGTGTTAATGAATATTTATGAACTTAAGGTAAGAAAGAATCCATCAAAATATTTCTGCTTTGCCCTCCCATCTCCATGTATTGCTTTTTAGACTAATTTTTTTCATGTCAGTTGCTTACATAATTAGTATATTTTGAAATTAGCTATAGGTTGTGGTGTCAGTTCTCACAGTATCATTTAATGGTAGTTAAATGATGAGTGTAGTAACCATAATTATATCTCCCTCAAATATTCAACTCTGAATGAGCACACCTGCCCTGTCCATTCTGCCTGATGCGAGCATCCACGTAGCACAGCTCCACGGTTGCAATACTCTGGGTTCTTCCCTTATTGCCTGCTAGAGGCCATAGAAGCACATTGATGCATGGCAGCCCTAAAAGGCATCACTGTGACAGAGACAGAGAGGCAAAGCAAGCTTGCCCTTCCTTTATGCATACTAACTTTAAGAATGTTAATAGCAGCTATATATCCCAGTGTCACTTGATAAATCAGGCATGAGTACTCTTTGAAAAATGTGGACTTAAAACCAGAAGCATGTTCAATTAGCTATTTAGATCCACCTCCATTGTGTTTAGTATTGTCATTAAAAGGAAGCAAGTGACTCATAGCCCTGGCAAATGTTTAGAATGGCCTTTATTTGTTTTCACTTGTGTAATAGTTAATGTTCCCTTGGTCTCTAATTCTAAGTCATTATTCTTAAATGCAGGAATATGTCTTTTCCTTGAATTCTATGACACTTTCTTATGTGCTAAAAGTTAACATCGTGACTAGGATGAGAGCTCACAACTCTACCCTCTTGCGTTTGTATCATCTAGCATGGAACCTTTTCTGCTTCAAAAAAGCATCTGAACATGAGCCAAACACTAAGTAAGAAATGACATCGAAGTTTAAAGTTGTAAAATAGAGCTTTGGAAACAAATGTTTGGATTCTGCAAGTCAATAGAACACCTGTCTCAGCTTTGCCCGTTGGCCATTTTCAATAGTACAACTTCATTTTGTTTTGAGTCTTAGTTACTGTGCCAATGACAATGTCATCAGCTCTCTCAAAGAGTTTGCGAGTCATTTGGGGGTATTTCCTAAAGCCTTTGCCTCAGGCTGACTTCCCATTGACAGCTAACTCTAGTGAGTGTGTCCCTAATGTTCTACATATTTTTCTGTATGTGGACACAGGGTTAAGATCATGCATAAGAAATTGCTTTTACTTTCCTGTTAGTAAAATATGCTTGTATATGTGTATATATATATTTGTATGAATGTATAAACATAGATTTTGAGTATATGCACTCATCTATTATACTCTGAAAAAGTACCTCTTTTAAAAGTAACTCAAAATACTTTTCTAATTATATAACAAAACATATGGAATAGTTCATATTTACATCCAGCAGGTATATATTGGGTGTAATTAATGTTGAATGTCACTTCAGCTTTACTATGTCAGTCTCAAATATTTCTGTTGGTATGTGTAACATTTTTTTTCATTTTCACTTTTATCAAATTTTGTTTCTCAATGCAAAGCTACAGAGGAAAAGATTTGATTTTTCTATTTCATTCTTTTTTAAAGGATCACTGGTATCAGTGTGTATTTGATGTTATATGGCGGGGGGGGGGGATTTTGAACATCAGGGTTGCCATCACATAATTGTTTATTTTAGATATATAAAGATGAAAAATATACTTTGTCAGTCTTTCACTGTGAATTGATTTACCAAATCTACGTCCTAGAGAAGAGAGTACCACTGTGATTATGTCATGGCATCACACTCAGCCTGTCAACGTACCATGTGAATAAGTTAGTGCACAGGGCAGACCTTAATAAGACAGCAGCAAATATGTAGAAATTCAGCAAAGGTAAGAGTGGCATGAATCTAGGTCAATGGATTTCTGCCTATGTCACTCAGTTGGAAGACTCTAACATATTGTCTAGAAACTTCACTTTGTAGCTTTCTCCATCTGCTTAAACGCTAGTTGTGCATTTAAAAAAAAGATGCTAAGTCTGACCCGTGAAAAATAACTGGTTCACACTGTAAACTCTTGTTTCTTAAATCCTTATATTACCATGTAATTATGAAGCATCTTCTTCACTTTCCTCTGGCAGAGTGAATTAAGAGAGCCTTTGAAATGAACCTCTGGAAACATATATTTTTGTGTCTGTATCCAGATGCAAAACTGAATTCAAGAATGTTGGTCATCATTAATGTTTTGATTTCTTTCGTGTGAATTTTTTTTTGTTACATTCCAAGGGCCCAGTTAGGGGTGAATGCATTTCATTTAAAGAAAGCAAGTAAAGACACAAGTGAACAGGAGAGACGTTTGGATAAGCCTTTTCATCCTCCTCCTGATTTCTTCTTTCAGAAGGTAGCGCTGGAGTCCCTTTTTGATGGACCCTTCCCAAGCAGTTGTGGACCCTGACCTCTTCCAGCTCGTTCAGGGTTTGGAATCTAAAAAATATTTCACCATCTGGGTATGACAAAAATGGCTAAGACAGATGGATACGTGATAGGGGCTCAGGTTGTATGGTGGGAGGTGAATGAAACAAATGCTTTCTCCTCGTGGTCCATCATACTTAGGCTTTTCAGCTGGTTACTCTGTTTCAAACTTTAGCGTCAATTATTTAAATTTGTTTTATGATTTCTAAATGGAAATGTGTCACTTTTAATTAAATACAATTAAGAATAAACTCCATTTTAATGAATTATAGCTTTCTTTTAAAGAGCTCATTCAGTGTCCAGAGCAAGTCGAAGTGCTACTGGCTGTGTGTGACTCGAAATACTCTTTAGGGTACTGTTTGATATTGTTTTTACATTTTTTCACTTGAAAATTGTTAATGGCATTACTTTTAGGATCACTGATAATGGTCATTTATTTTATTTTTACTTAGAATCTAAATTGAGCAACTTCCCTAGAAATTTAGTGTTTTTCTCCTCCTCTTCTCTCTCTCTCTCTCTCTCTCTCTCTCTCTCTCTCTCTCTCTCTCTCTCTTTCTCTCTGGGTGTGTGTGTGCATGTGTATATCTGTATGCATGAGTGCACATGTGTGTGCATAAAATGTGTGTCTTTGTCTATGTAACTGTCCAGATCATTCCAACAACTGTTTATTTTTTAACTTACTTAATTGGATTTTGCTATAATAGTTTTCTGAAAGAATGAATGACTCTTAAATCAAGAAAAATAGCAATAAGTTAAATATGCAAATCCAGCCACAATTGCTGGTCACTAGCTGTGGATCAGAGGCTAATTATATCAGTCATATATTGATGCTTTGAAGAAAGGTTTGTATTTTCCTTCCCAGCATGTAATTCTAATTGTGCATTTATATGTTTTGTTCTATTTTATGTCATTGTTTCCTAGTAGAGTGGAAGCTCCATGAGGGCAGGCAGTTCATGTTTCTTGTCGACCATTATATTTCCAGGACATTTTTTCTTACTGTAACTTGAATTTGCCATTTTTGTGACAACAGTGTATACAGTGTGCCACCTTGGACTAGAAGGAGATGAGAAAAATTTTTTAGATATCCAGAAGAAACTAGCAAAAGTGTTTGTTTCTCTCTAAACTTCCTTTTTGTCTTTTAACTTTTAACATCCCAAAGCTGCTGTCTGTCTATCCAGCAATACTCATTCTTACATAATTTCCATTTGCCTTAACACACCCAGCAGTGGATCTCTAAGGAGAACTAAAGTCAAGGTATTATTGTATTTAATTCTCATGGTCTTCACACGTAGAAGAAGAATTAGAGCCAACTGATGGTTTCTGGGAAAAGGAAAATTCATTTTCTCCAGGGATGAGTCCCCTGATGGTTTTTCACATTTTTTAATGTCATGTACTGCCATAAGGAAAAATCACCAAATTTTATTTTAAAACTTATTCTATTAATGAGATAGCAGGTATATGACTTCCATGACATACAAATCTATAGTGTCATATGATGTCTTATGATTTCATCCATTTTTTTCTAATTTTCTTAAATTGGAAATCTTAAGCTGTTAGAAAAGTTTAAATAGAAGTCTTATATTATGATATAAATATATTTGGTAACTTATATAAATATAAGTCCTACACCACGTGTGTGAAATAATTCTTCACTTGAATCTATCAGATGAACATTTATTATTTGATTATTCATGATCCCAGATGTTTACTGAAGGCCGATGTTTTGTAAGTCAAACTCTGAGATGTGTGTAAACGTATTTTAAAAATGCATTACGTCTTTGGTATTACTGACATTTAGGAGTCAAATTAGAATTAATCCTAAGAAAAACCAAAACATTTTTTTCTCAAAATGAATACCTGGATTATTTAACAAGTAATTTATCACAGCACTCAATATTGTAGTATTTTAAAATTGTTATGACATGTTATTCTGTTAAACTCACTCTCAAATAAATTTGATATTATTAGTATGTAGTATTAGTATTAAACTTTTTTGCTGTTTTTTGTTTTCTTTCATTTCTGTATAAGTTCAGTTAGGCCACTGTAACAAAATGCCATGGATTAGGTTAGCTTCTAAACAAAATTTCATTTGTCACAGAAGGCTAATGTCATGATGTGAGTGCATTTGTTGTGTGGTAAGGGCCAGCCTACTAGCTGTAGAACACCTTCCTGTATCCCCAAGTGCTGAAAGGTGGCAATGGGATCTCTGGAATCTTGTATTAGACAAAAATCACATTCTTATAGGATCCTCTTTGTAACACAGTAACTTCCCTAAATCCTTGCTGCTGCGTACATCACCAATTCCAAGTGACTTCTGGGGAGATGCTGGCATTCAAACCTAATGTTCTCCATGGTTTTTGCTGCTGTCTTTCAATTCTTCTTTAGCTGCAGAGCAAGTTTGTGCAGTGTTTGGCATCGGTTTACCAGCCTCCTGATGTGGATGTGCTTCTAGAACTGCTAAATGTGTTTCACGGTGCTTTCAGATTTCCAACTCAATTATGAAAAAAATCATACTTGTTTTGTATGCATCCTTAAGTCACATTTTTTCTCCTTTAGCTCCCTAATAATACGTTATGTCCATTGCTCAAAAGAATGTGAACTGTGAGATACTCTATTGAAACCTTGGGGATTTTAAATATGTGTAAGCTCAGATCTAGTTTGTCTTTAGCTGCTGGTCATTGTGACCTGTGTCATTACAATTCAGATCTTTCTTACATCCACAGAACTGGGAAACAGCAGAACTTTAAACATCCACTCGGTCCAGATGGCCAGCAGAGGAGCTCTCGGACTGCTCAGTGTTGCCTTTCACTTTATCTTTAATTTGATGTCCATCTGTTCAGTGTGCAGTTAACACTAGTCACTTTAAGAACATGTGTTTGTTTGATATTTCTATGACTTAATTTGTATCTCTTTATGTTTATAACTAGTAAAGTCTCAACTGTTTTCTACCTCTGTACTATTGGGTTGGCAAAGAGAAATACCCCATGTCTTCATAAATTCTCTTCATAGCCGTGTATTTAAAATACTGATTAACTAAATAAGAATTTTATTAGATATATAGAAGATTAACTTCTCTTCATGGAACACAGAAGAAACTTTCCATGCTATATGTGTAAAAATAAAGTTGTGCAACTAGAAACTTTATGTGTGCCTGAAAAATGCTGCAAACAACATTTAATTTGTTGTTGTTATTGTTTTGTTTTTCCAGACAGGTTTCCTCTGTGTAGTAGCTCTGGATTTCCTAGAACTTTGTAGACCAGGCTGGCCTTGAACTCACAGGAATCTACCTGCCTCTGCCTCCCCAGTGCTGGCATTAAAGGCATGTGCCACTACCACCTGTCTCACATTTAAATTTTAACATATATATTTAAAAAGAATATTCATTTTCTAAAATGATTATATTATTTATTGAATTGAAAATCAATTTTGTTCATATAAATATTTTTTATCGGCTCTTTTAGGATAGAGGGAAGTACTTTCTAAACAGTACAGCAGGTAGATCAGTAGATTTTAAAATTACTTTATAAACTATATAACTTTGTATAAGAAAAACTATATAATTTCTCATACTAATTAATTCATATACACATCTTTGAATCTCATTGAATCTGTGGGCAGAAAACATTAGGAATCAACTTAAAATGTAATAGTATTACTACAGTGTCATAGGAGAGCTTGCTTACCATGAATGCAAACTGTGAAGACTAAGCTGAAATAGTTGATACAAAATAATGAGCTTTATGCACACTTCAAAGATTTTCTTCCAGTCATTTACTAATAATTATGAAACTGGTCTTTCCTTCATTTTTGTGAGATAAACTTAGAAGGAACCTGTTGCAAAACACTGTCCAGGATCCATGACATCTCATTTTCAAGTTTTCCATCTAAGGGAGTAAAACCCAATATGGTTACCCGGAAGCAGTATAATGTGGTGGGTAAGAGTCATGAAGTGCCCAGACCTGAATACAGGCCCTATATTCATTCTGTCCTGATCTTGAATAAGCTATTTAACCTTTGACTCAGGCCTGTAACAAATCACTCAGGAGATTGATACAGGAGGATTACCATGTGTTCCTGGTCAGCTATACTATAAATCCTTGTCTCAAATCAGTAAACCCACTAACTAAAAAAGAACAATCCACAAAGTTTTAAGCTCATGTATCCAAATTTTTAAAATCTGTAATATGGGTTAATAAAGTAACCCATGCCTGAAGGTGATGAGAGACTGCAAATGTGCATGAAAGAGTTTTTATTCAATAATAGAAAAAGTTATCTGATCCATTTGAATTACATGATTTTTGAAAACGAATGATCCACAATCTGCCCAAAGCTTATCAAACATCACACCCTTGTTTTACTATCTTCAATACCTTATTACTATTTATGATTCTGAGGTTATTTTAGGTCATAACCAACTGGATTCAAGCATCCCAATGGCCTGTACTGCAGAGAGCACACAAACTATAGACAGTTAGAAGCCTGTACCTCTCTGATCCTCAGTGCTTGCTTAATAATGGGCTGGCAGATTGGAAAGACAGTTTCTAAAATTCCATTTTAAATTTATTTGTAAATGATTTCTGGTGTCTCATAGGAGGCTGATTTTCAATGGTCTCCCTCCCTCCCTCCCTCCCTCCCTCCCTCCCTCCCTCCGTCTTTCTCCTTCCCATCCCGTCTTCCCTTTCCCCTTCTTCCTTTCTTCCCTTTCCTTTCTATCTGCTCCAAGACAAGTATTCCTAAGAGCCAAAAATCCAATAAAAGCAAAGGTCTTCTCATAGGCCTAGTGGGATGCAGGGAACTCAAGGGACCTTTGATCTTCCTGTTCCCTGTTTCATCTAGGAGGACTTTGGGAATTTATTGGGGACTTGAAAGCCTTCCCTATAACAGTGATGATCAAAGATTTACTTTGAAATTCTCTTGCTAATTTGTTTTAAATGTAGTGCTCTAAGCCTGCAAGGCTTCCTTGTACATCCCCATGACTGCATAGGTAACAGAAGTGGTTGTGGAAGTATATAGTTTCTAAAAACTTTGCTTCTTTGTGGTCTTTTAAGCAAATGTTTTTGGATAATTTATGGCAGGGGGAGAGTTTGAAGAATGAAGTTGATCACTTACTTTGTTTTCAAGTATCTTAGGCTGTGCTTTCCCACAAAAAGAAATAAGATTCCTTATTCTCAGGTTAGCTACCCATACCTCAAGGCATTCAGCTTTACCAAGCCTAGAGATGAATAGTTATCCATGTTAATCTGGATGATTGATAAGGAGTAAAGATCTGCAGCTATCAAAGTTCAGATATAGAACCAGAATCGATGGACAATTAATAGTCTGGAACCCTCAGACTAAAAACATGAACAAAGCTACCGAGCTTAAGACCATTATTTAAAATAAATGTTGAACTTTTGTCCTTTTTGGAAAGAAGAAAAGGGAGCTGGAGAAAGAAGAAGGGTAGTGGGAGAAGAAGGGAAGGACAAAGAGTGAGAGAAAGCAGGAAAAGAGGCGGGGGAGGGAGGAGAGAGTTTTTCTTCAGCATTTGTCCTGGCTATTGAGTCAGCATTAGTGTGGACCGCACACTGTTATGCAGACTGTAACAACCCTGCTGTGCAGAATGGAATGGATGCTTTATTCACCTCAAGAGGTGGAACCACACTGATACTACTGCTTTCCATGATAAGGCTCTTCACCTTCAGTTTTTACTTACTTATAGAAAAGGCCTCTTACACATACCAAACAAAGTCCTTCTTTTCCTATTGGTTTGTTTACATTTGAAGTGTATAGGACAGCCATACAGAATTGACAAAGCTGAAGGTCTGGGAGCCATCTCTATTTACTTTCAGCCAAGTGAGATTTAGGATGTTCCTAGAGCTATGAATCAAGACTGTTTTCTTTTTCATTGTACAATCATTTTGTTATATGACTCAGATATAGTCCATGAAATTATGTCACCAAGGCCATGAATTAGATCATTCAGAAAACCAAAACAGCTTCTTGTTACATACTATTTAAAAGCCATATTTTATTTAATATTTCTTGAGAGAGTTACACGGTCAGTTGACCCAGTTTCCCATTTGATTTTCTATAGTAGGCATTTTAAAGACATTTGGAGAAAATTTAATTATCCACTTAAGGAAACCACCAAATTTAGAATGGGCTAGCATGCTGCTAGAGGGATGGAAATCCCTAAATTGGTCAATTGTGATTCCCTTTGGCAGGGAAGCCCTAGAATACAAGCTAGTTGTTGGCTTTTCAAACATCCCTAGTAGCAAATTCTGCCAGAAATCTGCAAGTGTTAGTGAGCAGCTAAGGATGTTGATGCTGTGCTGACCTAAAATAATTTTGGTGGCCTGTTATGACTGTCTTTCAAGTGATTGTTCATGAAATAAAAGAATATATACCTGACCCACAGTCAAAGGCACCTGCATTTCCAATTGTTTGCCCAGCAGTTGGGTTTATGTTGACCCACTGTACTTTCTGTGCCTGGAGACATTTTCTCCCATGGAATTAATAATGCAATATTCAGTTCAATAGAGGGATAGAGAAGCCAGCAAGCGGTCCACAAAGAACTCCCACTCTCTCGAGCTGATTGATGTGAGTACTATTCCTTTTGATTGTTGTCCTATCATTATGTCTAGGAGGAATGTCAATGACCTTTTAGGCTAAGCCCCATTGTACCTTTTCCTCAACTAATTGAAATATCACATGCTTTAGTCAAAGGAAATAACCTGTTCCGAGGACCAGTCTTTAAGCGAAGCACTCAAATATTTCTCTTCACTGTTAGGACATATGAACAGTTGTTCACACATCACTGCAACCATGACACCATCTCCTTTGTTCTGCCTCAGTAGGCCTTAGAAAGACTGTCCAACACACATAGGCACATAGTCAGGCGAGGCATATTTTTAAATACAAAAATTTTCAAGGAATCTAAGAGAGAGTTTTGTTTAACAGGTTCATGGCAGTTTGGAATTCTGTACTTAAAACAAAACAAAGTAAACAAAATACCAGCCTTCCTTCTAAGAAGATGCAAAGCACAAATTAACCACTACCAAGTTCACTGAATGGAATTTGCATTCCATATGCTAGATATTTGAACTTCATGCTGGCAAGGTCTTGTTAGTTGTTTTTGGTACAGTAACATATTTACTTTAGGTCACTCCATACCGCTTCTAAGTTGAGTTTTCTCGCTGCTGAAAAGAATAACCATTTACTTTAAGAGAACTTCTACTGAGAAAGATGTGGTTAGTCAATTGTGCTTGACTCCTGCAATAAAATAGTTGTTTCTCCTCTAGTTAAGAGGTCATTCAACTTTTTAAAGCCTTGCTGTAGTGGTCATTAAATTACTCGTGATGTGTGATTCAGACTGTGTTTTAAGAAAACATAGTAAATTGAATACATCACAACTTTTGAACTTTTAAAATGATGCCTGCTCATGGATTCCCCACAATACATTGATAATCAGTTTCAACAGTAAAATCTGATAAAGAGATCTGACAGAAAAAGGCTGAATAAGAAATACTGAGCCAACATAAAATATGTCATAAATACATCTGTGTGGCTTTAGTCAGGTTATTTGGCCTTTAATCCTATTATCCATGTTTGTAAATTTCAGGCAAAACTACTTGTTTTATTGTAGGTATGAAATTAAAGAAAGACAAAGTATGTATTTCTGTAGAATGGTGAGTGTTCACCTGAAGACCATATGGAGAATTAGATGTCTATTGGTGATTAAAAGAAAATAAAGTCGTTTTTCAAGGAAAATCAAAAACGTTTCGAACCACATACAGGAAAGATAAATGCAAACAGAATCTTATTCTGAGTATGCATACTTTTAAAGATCAGTGAGTCTTAGATGTTGAGAAATGAAGTGAGATGAAAGGGACTATAAGAAGTAATATCACACACACACACACACACACACACACACACACACACACACACACTCACACTCACACTCACACACTCTCACTTGTGTAGACCAAAGTTTTTGAGATAGGTTCTCATGTAGTCCAGGCTAGCTCTGTACTTTCTATATGACTGAGGATGGCTTTGAACTTCTGGTCCTTCTGCCTCCACCTCCTAAGTGCTAGGATTACAGGCATATGGCACCATTCTTGTTTTAGTTTGTGGTGAGAACCAAACTCAGAGCTTCCTGTATGCTAGGCTAGACTCCTGACAACAGCTATATTCTCAGAACAGTGAAGATTTTTGTTAAGACTTTTATTTTACTGTTAACTAAGTGAGAAAGACACACATAAACAAAATGTTTACAGTATACCTGACATAAGCATGTGAATGATGATTAACAAATGGTCCTAACATCCTTTTTCAGTCAAAATAACAAAGGCAAGATATTTTCCTTTAACAACACCAAAAAAATCATTGATTAAGGTATTAAATAGGTCTAACTAACAATGAACTACTTTTAATACAGTCAGAGAAGACCTTTGTTCTAATTGCTTCACAAGAAAATGCTCAGGTTGCTTTTGGCTTTTTTTACTTAATTGCTTTGCTTCATTAAAAAAAGAATATAGACTGAAAAAAATCATAATTCCCTTCCATCTTTGAATTCCTTTCTAGGTTTTATTTTGGAGAGTTAAAAAAAAATTGTGGGAGTTAAAACAGCAAGTAGAGCTGAGTCAGGGGCTTGGAGCAAGGAAGTATGTGAGCTTATGTTTTAGACAAAGGTAATTGTGAAATCCAGTGTGATCACAAAAGCATACAAAGTCTTGTGAGTGGAAAAGGAATGAATTGACAAATAACAGCACCATGACTTTGGGCAAAACTCTCCAAGCCTCCGAGGCAAATGACCAGTGAGCCAAGCTTCCTTATTCTGCATCAGTGTTGATCTCAACTTCATTTGGGAGCCCAGCGGCAGAACAGAGTTGACACCTCTGAAAACAATAACTGGAAATAAATATTGTTACTCTTTAAAAGTTGTTAATAAAAATCTACCTGTTTGTTATCACCAGTTAGCCATGTTGTTACACTAAAATATTTACTGATTTTCTCCAAAGGGCTGTGTTCTGTATTTCTTCTATTTTGATAGAGTTAACAAGTATGTATAGACTTAAGAAAATGAAATGCCTTCTATAAACATGTTTCCTCTCTCACATGCAAACCCCGAATTTTCTTTCTCAGAGTTTATGGTTTCTGTCTCTAAAGCCATCCTTCCCAGAGTTGAAGCCTTGCCAGATCTCTCTGGGCCATTTCTTTCCTCTGTACTGAACATATTATACTCCCCAGGCTGCTCTTCAAGTTCAAAAGTAGTCACTGGCCTTGCTTTCTGAGCAGGGCACAGCAAGATGAAGTGTGAATCTGGAAATGCTGCTGCCATTTATGATGTCTAAGGTGTGTGTGTGTATGTTTGTGTGTGTGTGTGTGTGTGTGTGTGTGTGTGTGTGTGTGTGTGTACTTAAATAGTATCCTTTTGTTGATACCTGTCAAATTTTTAAAAGAGAGAGGCTTCTCATTCTCTGCTTAGGAGTCTATAACGTGAGCTTTCTGGGAGGCTTAAAATATTTCTGTTCAACTCTAACCTCACTTGTAAAAAACAACTATTTTACCAAATGTTCTACCAAGATATGGATCAATAATAAATAACAAATAATGCAGGCTGCCTGTCATAGAGCATAGTAGATAAAGTCATTTTTACAAACATTCTTCTTAACACTTCAAGCTAATAACAGAAGATTTTGCAAAAGCAGCATTCCACCTTCACTGAGCTACAGCTGGCTTTCAACTCACTGACCTTAGTGAGAAATTACACTTTCTCCTCTAATGATACTGCAGCAAATTACCACAACTTTACCAGCATAATTGGGATAAATTTATTACCTTAATGTTGTGTATGTCAGAAGTGTGGTATAGATCTAGCTTACTGAAAAGGACTGGAATTTGGGAATTTGAATCCTTTCTTTTCCAGTTTTGAAGCTCATCTACACTCCTTGGCTTGACCCCATTTCTCTTTATCAAGGTAGAAACCTTGTATTTATTTGAACATTTGTTTCATAGACATATTTTCTTCTGACTTTCTTCTTGTATATCATTATTTATTTATTTATTTAATTTATTTATTTTTTGGTTTTTTGAGACAGGGTTTCTCTGTGTTACAGCCCTAGCTGTCCTGGAACTCACTCTGTAGACTAGGCTGGCCTCAAACTCACAGAGATCCACCTACCTCTGCCTTCCAAGTGAGTGCTGGGATTAAAGGCATGCACCACCACCGCCTGGCTCATACATCATTATTTATAAAGAATTTGTAATTATTTTGTACTATGAAAATCCATGCTACTCTCCGTCTTTACATATTCCTTGTTTAGCAAGCTTAATTATATCTCTAAGTTCAATTGATTTCTCTATGTAATCTAATGTACTCTTATGTTCTAGAGATTAGGATTTGGACATTTTTCGGTGCTATTCATTTGGCCTCCCAAGATAGAGAAGTGTTTGTTCTAAAAACAGAAGCTAGTAATTTGCAAGAAGTAAGTCTAATACAGCTAAAAAATTGATAAAAGTCGGGAGTGTGAAAAGTTTCAAGAAACAAATTTTCACCTGCCCTTTAAAATAAAGATTAAGTTAAGTGGTGGTGGCGCACGACTTTAATCTCAGCACACAGGAGGCAGAGGCAGGTGGATCTTTGTGAGTTCGAGGCCAGCCTGGGCCTCAGAGTGAGTTCCAGGAAAGGTGTCAAAGCTACATAGAGAAACCCTGTCTCAAAATAAATAAATAAATAAATAAATAAATATATAAATAAAATAAAAATAAAGATTATGCTGACAAGCCAACAAATTTCAGAAGTATGTAACTGAGAGAAGAAATGAGGCAACTGTGATTTAGTCAAGATAATACCTGGAACTTACCTTTGTTTGTGAGAATCAGAGCTGAGAAAGGAAAATACATTGGAGGTACGATAGGTGTTATATTCATTTGTTGTTGGCTATGTAGAGCTGAAGGCAAGATTGGAAGTTATAAATGAGCCGGGTAATGGGGCATAACCTTTAACCCCAGCATTTGGAAGGCAGAGGCAAGCAGATTTCTCTGAGACAGGCAAGCCAGCCCTGTCTGCAAAGTGAGCTCTAGGACAGCCAGAACTGTTACACACAGAAAACTTGCTTTGAAAAACCAAAAGAAGCTGGGCGGTGGTGGCGCACGCCTTTAATCCCAGTACTCGGGAGGCAGAGGCAGGCGGATCTCTGTGAGTTCAAGGCCAGCCTGGTCTCCAAAGTGAGTTCCAGGAAAGGCGCAAAGCTACACAGAGAAACCCTGACTTGAAAAAAAAAGAAAAGAAAAACCAAAAGAAACAAAAAAAGAGTGCAACTTATTGCCTGGTTCCTGTCATAAGACTGTAGTCAAGTGATGATACCATTTAAGAGAATGTATAGGCAGAGCATTAAGATATGGAGGCAGGGAGACTGGTTGCCATTAGCAACCAAACAATTTTGAATCCCAATTTTATCATAAACAGATAATGACATACAGTCACTTGATATAAAAAATATGTGAGAGGGAATAAAGTTGGACAATGTCCCAATATCCAAGTGAGAATATAGTCATAATATTTTATATATAATATATCAGAATATATTTGTAATACCTTGGTGCAAGATTTCCTTCTGTACTATTCTCTACCTGTTCCAAATGTGTAAAACATTCAGTGGATTGTCTAAATAATGAAGACATACTTGGGAAATTATTTAATAAACATATTCTCTCAGTCTTTTACTTCAATATGATTAGTGAGTGTTATCTATTTATGAGGTTCTGTTGAGAGTTCTTTATATAAAATAAATATAGTTTATAAATATGTAAGATGATCAGTCATATAGAGCAAGAGAGAAGTTCTTACTGCAAATATGGAAGTTTCTGGAAGTAGTAGTAATTGAGCACAAAGAGATGAGAAGTGAAGATAGACTGGTAGAGGGAGTCCCCAGAGGAAAGGACAGCTTGATGATGATACTGAAATACTTTGCAGAGCATGATTATGGGAAGGCATGGCATGGCTACAGCATGGTAGTGGCTAGAAAGGAGTTTTGAAACAGGCAACTGACAACAGTGTAATCTATAGCTGTAGATAATTTTTAACTAATTTTTGAGGTGTCACACAGAACCCTCCTTATTCTTACAGGCTTTGTTACCATTAGAGCCCTCAGCAAGTTCATGAATCACACACTTACAGCTCTTGGAATATTTCTGTGCACCTGTATTTAAGGGCTGGAATTTGAAATTTATTTTGGAATCAATGCATCGCTGTCACTGTGCTCTTTGTGAATATGTGTGAGAGGGCCAGGGCAGTGCCATTACCCAACCCTGCTTAATGTCAGTTGCCATTTGCAGTGTCGAAGAGGGGCGGGGTAGTGAGAGGAAAAAAAATGAATGAGTTGTGGAACAAATGGGGTTAAAGGTGATTGATGGGGTCTGAACTGAGGTGGTAATGTTAGGAAGGATGGTTCAGAAGTGAAAATCAGAGTCAAAATGTCCCGGGGTCTATTCTTTGGTGATCCGTACAGAGCAAGGCCCACAGTAGATGCTCAATCAATAAACTGATGACGACTTTGAGAATTGAACTGGGTATGGCAGTTTAAAGGACAGAAATAAAGGTCACTTTTAGAGCTCCAGTGATGGTGTCTACAATGATCACACTTCTGAAAGAACACGCAGGAGAAGAGCTTCTGTCCTAGAAGGTACTCAGTTGCATAGCAAGCATGTTTTTTGGCATGGAGAGGCAGGATGAGAATTATAGTCCTGAAGAGGAACATGAAAACATTAAACTGTGTTTCAGCCAGTGAAATTCAGCAAAGTATGTAGTATTGATGAATATGGTAACCCCTTGCCAAACAAATGTCAAATTACTTTGTGCATGCCAAATACTTTACAGATGAAGAAACTCAGAAGCAGGGAAGTGTTTTGCCCAAGGTGAAGCAACAAGTGATGCACAATGTAGTTTAGAACAGAAAGGACACCCTGCCCCCATCCGATGCTACTGCGTGGCCTCCTCTCCATTTCCACCCCTGTGCTTCTGCACTCACGACTGCCTGCTCAAGGGAACCATGTCAGCCTCCTCTCTATTCCCAAATCAGAATGTGCACATTAGGACTGCACAACACTGAGGGTTTCAAGAGTGCCCTTTCTACAACATAAGACACAGTACAAAGAGACTGGTCCTGCTGAGAACACCGAGCTGAAAGCCACTAGGTTTATTTTTTTCAATTTTATGGGTTTTAGCTGAGCCATTCTGACTTGTCTTCTTTCTTTTCAGTGAAATTGTTATGAAACAAGCTGTATTCTTCCATTCCAAATAACATAGATGACATAAAGCTAATGGATTTTAAGTGGTGCTTTGTGGAGCCTGAGGCTTTGGGGTAGACATGCCAGGACTACTGTGAAGGAAGCCCTGCTCTAGTTACATCAAGATCCCATAGCCATTAATCTGTTTTAATATCGGATTTCCTCCCATTTTATATATACAAAGGGGCTCTTATTTCCAGAATATTTGAAAACCCCAGTTAGTGGTTATTAATCTGAGGTCTACAGCCAGCACTTCAGATTTTACCCTTTAAATTTTTGAATTCCATTAAAGCATTTCAGGACTCATTGTTTCAGAGGAATAAATCACACAAGTTCAATTTTACCATAAAAGTACCTTGGGGCCCTTGAGCCTGTGGTGAGCAGCATCTCAGGCCTCTGCCAGCCCAGTTGCTTTTGCCTAAGGGTACACTGAGAGGAGTGGATTTTATGTTTTCACTAGTGAACACCAGGCCTGCCATAGAGCAAAGAGATGCAGCCAGGCTTGAGACATTTATTCTGCAAGCAATACAAATATGTTCATGTATTTTCCCCTCCATTTGCATTATTTTCTATTCTTAATTTGTAAGTCAAGTTCTTAATACAAAGTGATGATTCAAAAGGCCCACAGGGTTTATTAGGAAGTGCTTTGATATGGTGGTAAGTTAAAAGTCAGTGTCACCATACACATGCATATACACACCTTATATAGCCTTTCTCTTAAAAACTATGTTTTTCATATACCTAGTGGAAACAGATATTATTAAAAATAGTTTTTGAGCCACAGTAATGTCTTTTTATAATAAACAAGAACAAGTTCAGTATTTAGGTTGAAGAGTCAATCATGTTAGTTAGTGCACTAGGATAAAATGGTCAAAATATAGGTTATAATGGTCTGGGTGCCAACCACCAGTGAGCAGAGAAAGTTGGTTTTTTTGTTTGTTTTTGTTTTTTAATGGTTTTAATAGTCCTCTAAGCTAATCAGAGTAACTTCTTATAAACACAGTTTAGTTTATATACTTTCTAAGGTTTCTAAAAGAAAACAGCTTTATCTGTCTTATTTATATTGTTCCTGTTTTATGTAAATACTAGGTAGGAAAAGTGTTCAGTATTTTTAAGTGTAGTGATACCGTTGTGATTTTCTTCTTTGCACATTGACTCTGGATTTGTGTCTCTGACTCTACTCCCACTTCCAGTAATTCCAAACGAGGCAAGGTTGTATAATAAAACAGGACATTTCTGTGCAGGTCTATTTTTGTTGCCGTTGTTCCTCTTTTGTTTGCTTGTTTTTAAACAGTGTCTCACTATGTAGCTCAAGCTCTCCTGGAACTTGCTATGTGTTCTTGACTGGCCTGGAACTCATGTTCCAGCATCCCTGCTGACACGATTACAGGCTGGTGCCCCCATGTCCAGCTCGTTTTCAACTGAAAAGCTCTTCCTTATGATCTCATAGCAAGTCTCTGAGAGAATGGATAATGGTACTTGACTCCACGGTCACCCAGATAGTAAGGCTCCCAGGTGCCACATGAGTGAACAGCAAGGTTGGGACTGCTGATGCCCATGGGGGGCCTAGCCAAGACTGCCTGTGAGCTTTCTGCCGTCAGTGGAATGAACCCACAAGGTATACTATGTCTTATCACTGAAGATACACTTCCTAAAACACAGTGCTATTCCACAGATTTAACCAGACAACAAAATTAATTGATACTGAAATTTTAGATGACTATTTTCCAAGATGAGTTAACATCAATTCTAGGCTGCAGTTGAAGATCCTTCTTTTTGAGAGTGGAGCTTTGTGTATAGATCTAGCTCATTAATATTTATGACACTTTTTGTTGTTCTTGTTCTTTTGTTCCTGAGAAAACTTATTTTTATTCTTATTGTGTTCTTAACTCTAAATGTGATTCAGCATTTTAAAAAAAATCTTTGTTTTCACTTTAGTGTCTCATAAGCAAAATAAGTGGATGTTTGGTATCATGAATATTGCTGAGAGTAAACTGATTTCATTGTCCTTGCCTATCTTTTAAGGATACTTTCTGGTTCTTTGTAAGTGAATTGACAGTGTCCAAAAACCCATTGGGTGCTAACAACATCGCCATTCTGATAGTCAGCTGAAGTAAGGCCTTATAGGAGGTAAAGCATGCACTCTTCTCCCTGCTTCTGAAATCTAATGGCTCCATGTTGGCTTCTCTTGGAGAAGCACATGGGTCAATAGGAGGCGGATCCACTCCTTCATATCTTCATCTTCTACCAGGTATGCTGCAATGACAGATACAGTCATTCTGTAAGTACTTGTAAATCCAAAGAAAGTGATCCCAGTGAGTACAAATTGATAAAGGATTGGTATAATTCATACTCCACTCAGGACATGTAGATAGCTGGCATTCTGTTGGATTGTTATTTGATCTAGTTTGGTCCAAATTATCCAAATCTCCTAAGTTTATTTTCTATTTGGTTTTCCATGGTATTAAAACCTTGTTGTGCTTTCCTTTGAGATTATAGCATTTATTTGATGTCTCTTAATGAAATTTCACTTACATATTAATTTTGTGTCAGACCACTAATAATTGACTTGAAAATAGAATTTACAATTTTCATTCTTTTTTCTTTTTTTGATAATAACCCATTAAAACTTAATACAAAATTTATTGAACCTCTTCCTGTGATTCAAGGAACATCTGACTACATACGTGCGAACCAGGCATTCATGAAAGAAAAAAGTAAATACAGAGTGTGTAAGATGGCCTGCCTCTACTGAGTGTACCAGGCTCTGCTGACTCCCCATGGGAGGCCATACCTTGTTGGAGGAGGGAATGGGGTGTGGGTTGGGGGAGGTGAAGGCTGGAGGGGCAGAAGGAGGGAAGAGAAGGGTTGGTATGTGACATGAACAAAAAATTCCTTAATATAAAAAAAAGATGGTAGCGTGGAGAAAGTTCAAGCAGTGTAGAGAGAGTAAGTGGGAAGATGAAGGAAGGTTTAGACTTTGGGTGTGAGGTCTTCCCTGGCAGAATGCTGCAGAAGAGACTCAAGGTGGTTGTGTCTGTGTTCAACCTTTCGATTCTTAGAAGTCACTGTTCTTCTCTGGAGATTTCTGTCTTCCTGCGTGACCTTTATCATCTCCTTCTTAGCGTATGTCCCCCCTCTCAGCCACCTTAACTGATTCATTACTCCAGGGCTCAGATTTTCTGGCTTTCACAGGATGCCCTTGCTCAGAAATGTTCCACAGCCCCCTATTACATATCGCAGAAATTCAATTTCACCTTTAATCTCTACTTCAGAGAAGCGGTCTGCTTCTGCTGCCCCGAATAAACCAGGCTTGTGTCCAGTTCTGTGTTTGTGGTACTCTCCTTCTCCCCTGAGGTGCCACCATTTGCCAGACGTTTTGTATCCAAGTCTAAGAATTGGATTGATAGTCAAATGCATTGTATTTTAATGCACATAAAACTAACTTAGACCTGATGACACTAACTGGAGACTAAGTCTAAGTAGAAAGTTAGAATTTTGGGACGAATGTCCTTTAGAGGTGAGTGTACACAATATTTTGGAGTACTGGAATGTAATTCAGTGTGGGATAACAGGAAAGACTGCAATAAAATGATTGGGATCAGCTGTGTGTTTCCAAATCTATCGCTGTTCACCAGTGATACTGCTTCCGGTCGGCTAAGAGTGAACTGAGGTTCACAAAGTTTTGATTTCTTGTTCGTTGCCGTGGAAATATGCTGTGTCTTATATTTGCATTGCTCACTTTCACTTTATTACATGAATGCTATTGTGGATTCATTCATTTTCTATTTTCTGGTTAGTGTCTTTCTTTCTTTCTTTTTTTACAATAGGGTCTCTCCACGCAGCCCTGGCTGTTTGGGAAATTGCAGGGTAGACCAGGCTAGCCTTGAATGCACAAGGATTGCCTATGTCTGCTTCCCAAGTGCTGGCATTAAAGGTGTGTGCCATACTCCTACCTTATGATTAGGTTTTTAATATGTGCAAAGATACCCCTTTTATTGTCTTTTGCTCCTCTAGTCAGCACATGGCTTTTAAAATTCCCCTGTACATAAAATCATAGTTCTTGTTCTCTATCTCTCAGAACCCTTGGCACACTGCTCCACCTGCGTTCAAAGTCTCCTGCTGATTGCTTTGATGTGGAAGGCTTTAGAAAGCTGACATTTATGTTTCCTAAACTGTAGAGTTTGTGTGTTTCACTTAATCCTGTCAGATATCAAAGGTTCTATAATATCGTTTACTTGAAATAATATCAGCGAGAACACTGTTGGCAAGCACACAGACTGGCTTGCACTGTTTACGCCACCGTCCCCCTGCCTTGTACGCATTTCCTCTCCTGCGTCTGGCAAAATATTAAGAGGAAATGTCAGCATCTCTTGAAACAGACAGTTTATTATCATATTTTAACTTTTTTGAGTTTTGAAAACTGTTTTCTGTTTTTGAGATTTCCTGGGTGCAGCTTCCCTGTCATACAGAGAAGACAGTCTCACAGAAGGTGTGCTGTTCCTCTGGCTCTCACAGCATCTCTGATACCTTTTTCTGCTGTGTTCCCTGAGCCTTAGATGTAGGCATTGTCCTATAGATGTGTCCATTGGGTTGGACACCACAGTTGATTATTTTCTGCATTTTAACTCTTCAATGCTACTGTCTTCTGAAAAGAATATTTTTTGATAAGGAATGAGATCTCCATTCATCTGTGAGTATAAAGATACGTATTTAGAATGCAGTTAGGAATTAAACTGTTTAGGAACATGGCAGTAGTAGATTCTCCTCTATGTCCATGATCCACAGGTGATTGGCTGCATTTACAATAAGCAGATGTACCACACTTTTGAGCGGGCCTTAAGTCCAATTATAACAGCTAATTGCCATCAAAACACAAGAGCCACTGTTGTTCCCTTGGGGATATCTTGCCATGCTGCTACTTTTTGTGGCTAGTAGGTTTCACAGGTGGGTAGAATTGTTGGTTGACTTTTGTCTCTTGGCAGCCTGCATAGCACCTTCAGCTATCATGAGATCTGCCCTCAGGGAGGAGAATTTCGGACTACTTCCAGCTGGATTCCTCAAGTCCTTTGTGTGAAGTATGTGATGTCTTCTGCAATAGGACCTTTCCTTGAAGTTCTGGGAGGGAACCAAAGTCAACATTCATAACCTATTTTATTTTGGGATACCCTTCAACTGCCCTGACCTGTTAACAACTCAGAGGGAGGTTTCCCAGGCCAGGCAAGAGCACTTTTGTAGATAGTTTATGGCTCTAGGAGAAACATTATTATTGTCACTCCAGACTCCTGTGTGTGTGTGTGTGTGTGTGTGTGTGTGTGTGTGTGTGTGTGTGTATGTACATATACTTATTATGTATATGCTTTTAAGTAAACAAAATACTGTTTCCCTTGGTGTTATTTGTCCTTCTTCTGTCTCCCTCTGTATTTCCCCCATTTCCTTATTACCCCATTCTTAGAACCTATGTTCTACTATCCCTCTTTCTAGACCCCTCCCTCCACCATTGCCCCTCTTTTTTGGTTTCTGAAGTTACTCCAGGTTATTACACCTAAAGATTTGGAGCTAGGTTAGCCACATAAGAGAATATACATGGGTTTGTATTTCTGGGTGTGGGTTACCTTACTCAGTATAATATGTTTTCATCCCATTCATTTAACTGCCAATTTTATGATTTCACTTTTTCCCGCAGCTGAATAGAATTCTATTGTGCATATGCTCCACCTTTCATTAGTCCTTCATCAGTTGAAAAATATTTAGTTTGTTTCCTTTCCTCGCTATTGTGAATAATGTGACAATGAATCTGTGGAGTAGGAAGGGTGTCATAGTTATTGGGCATTTGCTAAGGAGTGGTATATCTAGGTTACATGGTGAATATTTTAGACCTTTGTTTTAGAAATCTCTACACTGTTTTCATAGTGCTGGCACTAGATTGCAATCTCACTAACGGTGAATGAGAGATCTGCACAGACACCAGTCAACAAACTAAAATAGATGGGAAAATGTCACAAGGGCCCTCAATAATAATTAAACGAAAGGTTACAAATTTGAGAGGAAGTCAGGGGTCATGGGAGGAATTTGAAGGGGCAGGAATAATGAAAATACAGTATTCATGTATGAAATGTCAAAAAAATTAATTAAAAATGTTTTAATCAACTTGTTTACTTAATAGCCTTGGGTAGTTGGCTAGATTTCCAGTACCAAGCATAAATTCCCTCCTGTTGAGTGGGTCTTAAGTCCAATTAGAGAGCTGCTCGTTATGGCCAGGGTATATATTGCTACTACTGTACCTTTATAGTTAATCATACTGTGCTAGTTATTTTTATGGTTCATACCCATAATAGCTGGTAGGACTGTTGATTGCATCCATCCTTTGGAAGTTTGCATGAAGCCTTCAGGTGCCATGAAAGATAGTCCTCAGGGAGGAGGCTTTCAGGTCAGTTCTACCTCAAGAGTCTCTTATTTTTATACAACACTGTCAACTGGTGGGAAGGAGATTTTGTTGTAATAATTCTAGGCTGGGAAAGAAGTAGGCCTCATGGCCTTAAAATATAGAATATGAGAGTCTGTAGACAGAAGTTTCTCATCTACCTGCCTGTTCCCAAGTACCCAGCAGCTGCTTTCAAAAACTTGACTCCAAGCCTCAATATTACTTATAAATGCTTGGCCGGTAGTTCAGGCTTATTACTAACTAGCTTTTACATTTAAATTAACCCATAATTCTTATCTATGTTTAGCTACATGGCTTGGTACCTTTTCTCAGTGTGACATTCTCATCTTGTTTCCTCCACATCTGGCTGGTGACTGACTCCTTGACTCCACCCCCCTTCTTCCCAGAATTCTCCTACTCTGGTCACCCCACCTATACTTCCTGCCTGGCAACTGGCCAATAAGTGTTTTAGTAAACCAGTTTGAGTGACAAATCTTTACAGTGTATAAGAGCATTATCCTGTAGCATTTCCCCTTTTTTGTCTAATTAAAAAGGAAGGTTTTAACTTTAATATTGTAAAACAAGAACAGTTATTAAGAATTACAGTAACAATATCCAATTCATTTGCATTTGATAAAATTAGAAAAAATACTTAATTATCTTATTTTGGTGAGTCTAAAGTTTTGTATTTAATTTATCTTTTACTATAACTAAAGAAAACTATAGCTATCTAGTCTTCAACTCCATCAAAGACTCCAGAAGGATGTAATGTTACCTAATGACAGGGTCATCAGGCTGCCTGGACAGTCACGCAAAGTTCCTCTGCTCCATGTTTTTATTATTAAGACCAATTAGAATTCACTCTACAGGAGTCTGGGAGTTTAATCAAGACCATGCAGTGGAAGACCCATCTTTTACGATGTACACCCCTTTGTTTTATCTCCTTAAGCATTTATTTGACACCGCCACTCTGCTGAATTATCTGATTGTATGTGTGTGTGTGTGTGTATTTTGGTAGTACTCTGTTGGATAGTCTAACCATGAACACTTCAGAAATTATAGTGGAATCTTGCTCTTTCAGATTATTGATGTGGAAATTGACCTCCATGCCTGTGTTTTGTAGGCTTAGAAGTATGTAGAAAACCGGTACTAACATTTAGCACATTGCATCAGAGTGTGCTTCCTTTATGTTGGTGTCTGTAGCTTAATCTTCATTATTTGTGTATCTGCTTAGCAGTGCTTTGGCAAATACAACAGAGAAAATGCACCCTCTTCTTCTGAAATTGTGTCTGACTTCAGAAGTCTTAACTCACAGTTTGACAGATGTTTTCTTTGTGTCATCTATATTAAGAAATAATTTTTAGTCTGTCTTCAAGAATCTAGAATTTTCTTCTCAAAAAGGGTGCTATATTCACAATCCAGGATGCTTCCTTTCATGTGATATGCAGAAGAAAAAGCTTTTATGGAAATTGTTTTTTCCGTTTAAAAAATAGACTAAACTGTACAATATATTGGCTGCTGGCTTATTGTATACTTCAAAATAGTAGTGTATGGGGAATAACGTAAGAATGTTTTACATTAAGTAATATGTTCCATTGACAATTTCAGATTTTTAGATATGGTAATTTGAGTCTTATAATAATTCAATACTTTTCTTACAGAAGGTTATACCAGAATTTAATAAAGTAAACTATACCCTGTCTTTATTTTCCTATTCCATATGCAGCCATTTTACTTTTTATGGCTACACATCATAAGAAATGTGTGATGTTTGGAAACACAATGCAGATAGTTTATTATTATTTTTTGTTTGTTTCTTTTTTTTAGAGACTGGGTTTCTCTGTGTATTTTGGTGCCTGTCCTGGATCTCACTCTGTCAACCAGGCTGGCCTCAAACTCATAGAGATCTGCTTGGCTCTGCCTCCCGAGTGCTTGGATTAAAGGTGTGAGCCACCACCGCCTGGCATGCAGATAGTTTATAAAACAAGAAGTTTGAAACATCTATCCTTCTTAGGGTTGTGAAGTAAGGCACTTCCTCATTCTCATGCATTAGTTTTAAAGAGTTCCAGATAGGAGGGGCAGTTGTCTGCATTTAAAACAATGAAACGAGTTAAAAATCTCTGAATTACATTGAAGGCTGTAAGAAAATATCTCTGAAATGGTAAGTTCAAAGAGAAACAAACTGCAGTAGGAAAACAAAAGAGAGCAAGGGTAAAGAAAAAATACTCAAAGAGAGTAGAAGAATTGTATCACAAAGTTGCTAAGACTTTTCATGAGTAGGACCAAAAGTAATTGCAACTTAATAGGAGGATTTTATTTTCAAGTCAGCAAAAGATTTAAACCAAATGCAAATCAAGCAACTGCTGGACATTACTGTATGACTTGTCAAGCCCACGTTTGAATCTGTAGTTTTCCAGTCAAAGTTACAGTAAAAGATGTCCTGTCAATTGGTCATCTTCTCCATGATTTTCAATCATTGTGATAATTATTTTCATGTTAGCATCAAATTCCTGGGAGAAAATTTCCTGCAGTGAATAGTACAGTATAAGTTGTTCAGTTTGAACATTTTGACTGTTGTATATGCTTTTAAATTAACAAATTGTGTAGTGAAGGTAAGGAATCTTCCTACTACCAGTAGATCTTTGTATCCCTTTGTCTGTCATCTGTCCTTTATTCCTCCCTCTACCAGAAAAGTCGCTGTTTGTCACCACAGATTTGTCTTCATTTTATATAATTTGAGTTACACGGTGAGTTTCATCTTTGGCTTGGTACAGTGAACGATACAACCATAGGTTTGTTCATACCTGCAGTTTATCCCTTTAAGTGTTGTATATCGTGGATTTTATTTATATGTTTATTTAATCCATTTCATGCTGTTGTTAATATCAAGCTTGGCATTTTTAATTCTTTTTATTTTATTAGTGCTTACAATAGTTCTATACATAACATAAAAGTCAGTTGCTTGATGACCTTGTGAAAACAGGTGTCGGAGAGAAGTTTCAGGATGATTCTTATAGCAGTACTTAAGTGCTGAAGTGTAGCTTGAGTTTTCCTGCCTGGCCCACCGTCAGGACAAATCTCTCTCACCTGCCAGTCCCACAGCCGCTCAGACCCGACCAAGTAAACACAGAGACTTATATTGGTTACAAACTGTATGGCCGTGGCAGGCTTCTTGCTAACTGTTCTTACAGCTTAAATTAATCCATTTCCATTAATCTATACCTTGCCTCGTGGCTCGTGGCTTACCGGCATCTTCACATGCTGTTTGTCATCTTGGCGGCTGGCAGTGTCTCTCTGACTCAGCCTTTCACTTCCCAGCTTTATTCTCCTCCTTGTCCCGCCTATACTTCCTGCCTAGCCAATGGCCAATCAGTGTTTTATTTATTGACCAATCAGCAACACATTTGACATACAGACCATCCCACAGCACTGAAGTTTTCTGTGTGTTAGAAGTAGCAAGGTCAGCCTGGCAGTGGTGGTGCATGCCTTTAATCCCAGCACTTGAGAGGCAGAGGCAGATGGATCTCTGAGTTGAAGCCTAGCCTGGTCTACAAAGCAAATTCCAAGGACAGCCAGGACTACACAGAGGAACCCTGTCTCAAAACACCAAAAAAAGTAGCAAGGTCAAAGATCTTTACTGAACAGCTACCTTGTCCTTTTAACCCATCCTAGGTTCCTTCATACTGCATGTATGCTTAGATTAACTAGAGGCTAACTAGAACTCTAATACAACCTGTTTATTTGAAAGGAGAGGGCAGTCCCAACTGGTGAAGAGACTTGCCTGCAGGGAAGTAACCAGTCGTCACCAGTTGCCTTAAAGAAAATAAATAAATAAATAAACTAACAAACAACCCAAATGATATGGAAGTATTTTCCAGTTAGCTAAAGAAAAGATTAACTAGAAAATATCACCTCTGTCCATTTGAAACATTTTTTATTCAGTTCTCAGATACCCCATAAAATTATTTCTTATGTTTTTGATTGAATGTGAATTAAGGTCTGCTGTCTTACAAGATCATGAATCACTCTTAAAGGATGCAGGAGGTATAGAAGCTTCCATTGAACTGGGGGGGGGGAGCAAAGGAATAATTGTTATTGACTTCTTTGGCTGTTTACTTGTAGTGGTCAGAACTCTGTCCAAGTCAGAATATTTGACTAGTTACTGACTTTCCACATTTACTCTTGAAAAGCAGTATTAATTACCTTGGATTATGATATTTATGTAGGGGAGGGTGGATGAGGCGTCAACCTGAAGGAACAACAACAGGTAATTTTGTATTTCTGGGAATAGCATATTCTCAGGAGAAGGACATGAAACATCTAGTTCCTAGTAGTAAAAATCTTATCATGGTGATATAATTTACCTCTTAAAATTTCTATTGTTAAATTTTCAGTTAATTTAAAAAGTACAATATTTTTCTATTGATAATCCCTTCTAGCATATTCTCTAGTACAAAAATCTCCTTTTTGATGAAATGTATTTCATTAATATCTAGGCAGTTATATAACTACATAGGGAACCCAATATTACATTTTCATTATCTTTGTGTTAATCTTTATGGACTAAAATAATAAATATTTTTCACATTCAACAGGCCTTAGATTCTACAAAATAAATTTAAATACTGCAGGGCTGCTTGTATTATCCCAACTATTTCTATGGCTGCAGAACATGCTAACAAAATATTTCTGTTTATATGAAAACCATGTATGTAAAATAATGAGTTCCAAGTTCCAATAGTAAGGGAGAAATGTTGAAATGTTTAATGATTCAACTTGAGTTCATTTTGTTAAATGAGAGTAATAATTATCTGACCACTATCTCAAAACTTTGAGAGTGAGTCACAATTCTAATATATTAAGTGTTGAAAAGCACTCAAGGTGTGAAGTGCCGTACAAACCTTATCATCAATGGAATTGTGTATTTACCAAATTTGCTCAGTACTAGCAATTGATTTCTTGACCTTATATTTATGTTGCTGATAAGTACAATACTTTGCTACCTAATCAGAAGTCAGGTTATCAAACTATTTAAGAAGTGCCCCATAGTAAAGCGTCTTTCTTAATACTTACATGATGTCAGAATACCTTGGATGCTTGTGCTGATATGATCTGTAATGTGACTACAAGTGCATGATATGTAAGACGTGCATATGTAATATGACATGTGTTTAAGTTTGGAACAATCATGAAGATGATTTACAAAGTGATCTCAGGTTCAACAGCGCTTCGGTGTTCATGTTTTCTCAGTAGCTTAAGAATTCCATGTTGAGATAGTTTTGAAAAGACAAAGCATGGTGTTACACATCTAACGTTAACACTAGAGGTAGAGGTAAAAGGATTTGCAGGGCCAGCCTTGGCTATAAAGTGAACCCAAGGCTAGCCTGGGCTGCATGATTCTGTCTTAAAATCCAAAAAAATATTTTGGATAGATTCAACAATTGCAGTTACTAAGCTAGTGCTCTGGGTGAATAAGTTGCTCTGTATCTGGCTAATGATAATTATTGTTCTCTCTTTGATGTGACCAAGTGAATCTTGCACTAATGTGTATTATTTTGAGAGTGGGAGAAATATGTGCTATGCTGGGAATGATTAATGATCTGCAATACTTAAAGAACCTGATATTACTCATCCTTAGTGGTACTGATTGCTGGACTCCCATTATCTGAGTAATGACCTTTTGGTGTAGGAAAGATCACAACTTCTGTCTAAAATTGTATTTAAGCCTTTGTCATCTGACTACGCCAGCCCAATCAATGTCATGTTCTACATGAGGACCTTTTCACCTGCTGTTCCTTGTGCATGTTTTCTCTCCAGATATTGTCAGAACACCCTCCCCTGCTCCATTTTAATCCCTGTGCAAATGCCACCTTCTCGTACAGCCTCTCCTGTGCTCCGAAATAGGAACACTGCTAGTATCACTGCCCCCCGTTCTATGACATAACAAATGATATCATTTTCATAGTTGTCTATTTGCTTGCTTGCCCCCACCGTCTGAAGTGCTGTGCACAGCAGGGTTTTTATTCATATTACATACCTTTATTTGCCTCCTCCTCAGCACTTAGAACAGAGCATGACAGAACATTCATTGGAGCAATGGGATAATAAATGAATAAGGAAAAGAAAGAATATGCTGAAGGTCCTTTCCTATCCTAAACTTTTCATAAACATGTTTGTATTAAAGTAAAACTTTGAGCTGGAGATGTAGCTCAGTTCGTAGAATGGTTACCCAGCATCCAAGAGGCCTTAGGCTAGGTTCCCAGTCCCACATGAACCAGGCATAGTGAGGCATGCTTGTGGTCCCAGCATTGGAGAAGTAGAGGCAGGAGGATCAGATTTCAAGGTCAAGGTCGTTCTTAACTACATTACAAGTTTGAGGCCAGCTTGGGCTTCGTTAGACTATAAGTGGACATTACCCAAATACAGGCTGAAGATAAACTTTTGCTTTAGAAGGACATACACCATCACAAAGTACACAAGGTTTGTCCCCCTAATAATATACTTAGTTTAGTCAGATATCTTTAAAAGGTGTCATACATCATTGTCATATGATTTCAGTAAAAAGAAAATTTTATTCAGTTCTTGTTTTGAATAATAGCGGTCTGTATAAATATTCTTACCTCTTCAGCATTTGGGGATGTTCCAAGTGGTACAGTTCTAAAGAAGATCAGTGAGAATTTCAGACTTTCATCAGATTGCATAATAAAATAATTATATGTGTTTAAGAACAAACACAAACACTTCCATTCATATTCACTATAAAGTAAAGAGAGAAAAGACAGATGTGGCCTTTGCAGCTGGTGCGATATCCTGAGTGTCATGGTCAGCCTGGCAGCTGTGGAGCATCCCTTCTGTAAGGCTGAAGAAAGTATTGATTTTACACCCCACTTGGCTGTTTCTGCTGTGTCTGTAGTGACAGTATTTGAGTTCTTTTCTTTCCTTGTCATCCTATCACTGTTCGCTTGACCAAGTCTTCGTTTACTACTGACAGACAAAAGTATCAGGGATTCAATAAATCATTATCAATTTCCCTAAATGGTCAATACTTACTGACAGAAAAGGTTTTACCTCAACTGGACTGTAGAATTTCCTTGGCTAGAATTATAAATAAAAGCCCCTAAGGAGCAAAATACTTTACATGGATCATGTTTCAGTATGTGCTATATTATAATGTTCTAACTAAATAGATTAAAATACTAAAATTTTGCAACATTTGTTTAAGACAGTAGGGCTGGGGATACAGGTCAGTGGTAGAGCAATCTCTCCGCCTGCACAAAGCTCTGGATTCTACCCAAAGGACCACAAGAAAACAAAGAAAACAAATGACTTTAGCACTGGGTTATTCCTTATGTTGAGTAGATTTTGGTGCAATAAGACGACTCAGTGGGTAAAAGTGCTTGCTGTCCAACTATGCGAGTCTCGTGCTTAGAGATCAATCCCTGAGATCCATGTAAAGTTGTAAGGAGAGAGCTGAATTCCCAGCTTTATCCTCCGCTCTTCATATGCACATCATGGTGCATTCTCCCCCAACCCTGCACACATCACACACACACACACACACACACACACACACACGCACACGCACACGCACACGCACACACACACACACACAGGGTGGTGGTGGTAAATAAATACAATTTTAAAAATAATAAAATTAAAATTAAATCTAATTATTAGAATTTTGTACATAATCCAGTAATATAAAATTAAATACTCTCTCTCTGAAGCGGTAATCTCCTTTGAGAATGGTGCCTTAATGAGCTGTGAGGTGATAATTAAGTAAATTTTCCAGTACAAGATTCTGTTCATATTTTTTTAGTTCTAATAATTCAGGATATGCAAATATTTTTCTTTTAACATATTGCATGATGAAGAACCATAAATTCCAACAGAATCATCACATTCATCTCATGGAGACTGACAATACAGTGTATATACTTGATCTGAGCCTTGAAATATTAGTTGATTTTTCTGAAGAACTCATAGAATATTTCCAGTGTGACAGTCAAAAAGACAGTCACCACAGAGGACCAGATGTCAGCGTTGACAGGTGTGGACTCTGTTCCCTTGAGTGTTCCACACTTTGTCCAGCATCACCCATTCACCTGTAGAATTCCTCAGCTCCCCTCCCTCACTTCCCTCCCTCCCCCTCCCTCTGCCCCTCTGTCCCTCACAGTGTCACCTCCCCTTTGCTTCTCCTTCCATTTGTGTGTGCCATGTTTAGCTTCCCCCAGAAGGAAGGCACCTCACTCGAGGAATTACCTCCATCCGACTGGTGTGTGAGCGTGCCTCTGGGATGTTTTCTTGATTGATCATTGATGTAGGAAAGCCCACCTCACTTTGGGAGGCACCATTCCTAGGCAGGTAGGCCCAATCCATATAAGAAAGGTAGCTGAGCAAGCCAGGTGTAACAAGCTGGTAAGCATCCTTCCTCCATGGTTTCTGCTTCAAGCTTCTGCCATCAAGTTCCTGCCTTGGAACCTCATACCCTCATCCTATGAGTGGGATGTATAGGCTAAGTAAAGCCAGTAAGCCTATTCTTTCCCAAGCTGCATTGGTAACAGTGTTTTAAAGCACAGCCTCAAAAAAGAGCAGTTAGAGCAGTGTGTCTGGGGAAGGTAGAGGACAACTTTCCTGAGTTAGTTCTCCTTTCCACCTTCTTAAGGGCAGGCTCTCTCTCATTTCTGCTGCTGTGCTAGGATCTGCCAGGGGACTGTCCTGTCTCTGCCCCTGACACCACTGGAGGAGTGCCACAAGCATAAATACATGTCCATCCAGCTTTCTATGTGAGTTCCAGGATAGAACTCATGGTCAGGTATGTGTGAGAATAGTGTGTTTAACCACTGAGCCATCTTGGTGGTCCTCTTAGAATTTCTGAAGGCTTTGTTTCTGTTGTTACAATATTTAGGGAGAGTATGCCATTTTGTTTGACACGTCAAGGAAAGTTTCAGGCCTGATAACTATCATGAAAGCCTAAGAGGTAAGCACAAGGCAATAAAACGTTCTTTTTCATAATCCCAACACTGTTGTATTTTGTCGTAGTGGATTTGAAATTCACAGCCTGGTATGTGCTGTGCAAGCATTCTCCCACTGCGTGCACATCCCACCCAATCTTGCCAGTTTTTAAGGATAGACTCTCATTCTGTGCAGTCATGTCTGCTGCCATCTTGGCCTTGAGGGGTTGAAAAGACAGATGTTCCTCAGGGAGGGATGGTGACTGATACATTATGTACTGTCCAAGTAAAATAAAAGTGTTGCTGGTTCTGCTTAACTGGTCCTTTTGTACTCTGTTTTTCCTTGAAATGCTTTCTATTTTGTTTTCTGGGAGAAGAAAAATAAGAACTATTTCACAATTTGGCATGAGAATCTTTGCACTAACAACATTAGGATCAGACTGTGAAACTGGGGAAGTTCAGATTGAAGTGAAAGATGTGCTTTCCTGTGAGGGCCCTCAAGTATGTTGACTTGCCCTCACCCTCATTAGTGACTAACTCACATTTTGCTCACTGAGAGGGTGAATTTAATTAGTAAAAAAGAGTAGCAAAATTACAATAACTGTTATGAAGAGATGCATTTCAAAATGCAGCTCAAAGATTTAATATCCCCTTAAAAACTTCCACCAGTGGAAGCTTGCTGCTCTTTCAGAGGATTCAGGTTTGATTCCCAGCACCTCCATAGGGCAGGTCACAACAAACTGAAACTTCAGCTCCAGGGGATCTAAAGCCATTTTCTGGTTTAAACAGGCACTCCACACACATTCACACATACTTACATACATTTGTGCACAAACATACCACCCCCCACACACATAATAAAAATAAATGTGTTTTTGTTTAATCTATCCTCATTTTAGTTTATGGCTATTAAAAGACTAAGGATGAGGCATTAAAATGGTTTAAACCATCCCTTTAGTTTTTTTTTCAGACTTTTATCCCATTCTGAGAATTGTACAATTGGTTATTCGTTTTCAGTTTTACATCAAGGTATCTTTCTGAAACTTTTGTTTGTTAGTAACAGTATTTACAAATCCTGCGCTTTTCTCACTAGATAATAGTTGGTAGACTATCCTATATCTGAAATTGACACTCATGGTAACACAGTTAATTTCTTAGTTTTCGTGGCGTTTGCTAATACAAGCCAACAACAGTGTATTGTATTTCTGTACTTGATCCAGTCGAGGTTAGATACAAACATAGTCTTTTCAACACCAGAACTCTAGTTAGGAACAAAGTCGAATCTATCAAAACTGGGTTGTACAGATCTCATTGGGATGTTGAAAATCAATATTTGGATAAAATAAGAGCAGTGATCATTCTCATTCTCAGATAATTTGGGAGAATACTTAGTCTCTCTTCGGGAAACATCACCACGACAATGGCGAGCACTTGTCTAATTTTGTTTGTTAGTTTCATGCCAGTTTCAGTAAACTGTGAAAATCATTTAAGAGTTATATTCATTATTTTTCTTAATGAAAGGCTCACAAATATAACAGGCACAAAGTTGTTTCTGCTAGAGAAGCACATCTTTGGGAATTAATGTGTGGGTTCACATTCCTAATTTATTTCCTTGGGTATTTCATACCTCGTGTTTTCCAAACTTTAGCATGGCTATTATTAGAGACAGAAGGAGTAATGTAAGGTGTGTCCTTAGAGGGCATTTTCAACATACCGGGCAGAATGTGAGCAAATGCCTCATGACTGCTCAGTGGACTCACATCACTGAGACGGACATATTGTCTGCCTCACACAAACACTCCCACCAGCCTCTCCTATGACTATTCATAGAATACACAGACTGCAACAATGTCATTTGTTTCCAAGAAGCAAATGACTCTCCCTGGGCTTTTGAAGTCATATTTGAAATTCTTTCTTTTTTTTTTTCTCCCTTGGTCTGTTTTAAATTTCCCATGTCTCAAATTTCATGAGTTATTGTCTTATTTATTCCCTGTGCAGTAATTTTGCATACCATAATACAGTTTTAAAAATACTGCAAGTATTTACTTAAACAGAAACTACAACATTGTTTTTAAAATTGTTTTGACTGTAACTTTCTTCAAGAATGTTACTCAAGCTATCATCATCCTATTTCTTCTTTCAGAGAAAAAGGCCATGAGATGACTTGACCGTATACAGTCAAGATTTCTGATTTTGACACTTACTTTTCTATCAGATTTTTCTATTTTAGCCTCTTCATTTCTGGGTGCCTAATCATAACTTTTGGTTCAAGTATTTAAAATAGTCTAAAAAATATTTGGTAAACACCTTTGTATATGATTTCCCGTTAACTAAACCACCAGTATATATTTGTTACATACTCCCCAGTAGACTACTTAAAAGAAAGCACAAAAATGGATTTACTAGTCTATAAAAAGATTAGATAAAAATCTCTGTATTAGTTAAAACTCCAAATGCTAGAGTTTATTCCACACTAAATTATAGTTTTTAGTACTCCTTCTGTGAGTTTAGTGCCCTTAACATATTTATTTTGTTTCATTTTTCCATTCAAAGTTCCCTAAGGAAAGATGATTTTCTGTAAGACATGCTGCAAAAGATAGGCAGGGCATCTCTGAGCATCCTGGGCTAGCCTTGAACTTTTGAATCTGTTGCCTTAAGCAACTTATCAACTAGCATTGCAAGGATGCTTTGTCATGTCCAGGTTATGATGCAATTTTAACTCTTGTCACGTTAATTGAATTTGACCCAGTGTGTGTATCCAGATATATTATGATTTAAAGTATAGATTTCCTGGAGTATCCGAGGTCTTGGATAGATTATTTTCCACCACATTTTAAAGACATCAAAATGGAATAATTCCACCTTTTTTCAAAGGGAGTCCCTTTTGGGAATTGTTAATGATACCCACTGTTGGTTTCTTCCCATCAAAACATCTTCTCGGACAACTTGCATCCTCTTGGTTTTATCCAAGTATATCAGAGTGTTGTCTGCTTTTATACTAGGGGCATTTATTTTGGAAGGTCCTCTTATGCAGTTATTATAGTGATTTGATTAAACTTCCTTATTCAGGTAAATAAGTGTTCATGTTTCAATTATTATTGAAATAAGAATTTCAGCAAAGTTGCCAACACCTGTTTTGTAGTTTATGGATACCATGATTAACTGTTGAAACATTCTACCTTAATTTTAAATGTGTGTTCAAAAGCCTAAACTTTTTGACTGGTAAATAATGAGCCATTGGGTCTAGCTAATAATGTCTATATATTAGGATGTCACAGCAGACCAGCAAAGATAGTACATACTGTCACATTCAGGATGATAAATTCTATAAAACTCTGCTGAATAAAAATGAGTCCTTTTGTGCTCCCTGCAAGGTTGCTATAGTTACTGACTGTTGCTTTGTGGGAATTTCACTTTTCTTTGTAATATGAGATACCAAACCTTAAGTCTCATATTATAGCATTCTTAGATCTCTCCTTTGAAAATAACCTCCCTGTAAGAGACTCTCTATTATTCTTCCAGGCTTTTTCTTTCTTCCACGAGTAAGTTATTTTGGACAAAGCAGAGAACAAAATCATTAAGCATATGCCCCTCTTCAGTAGACACAGGGCAGAATATGGATGCTGCCCCCACTGCTGTTTTTCAATTAATAGGAAATAAGATGGTATCATACTTCTGAAAAGGCAATGTGTTCTCAACTGGGAAACTCTATTTAACAATTGTTATTGTTGCCATGGCTTTCCAGCTGTTACTGCTGCTAAGCGTCAGGATGTGTGTGGTATACCTGGGAACATGGAGTTTTAAACTGTCACAGTTTGAAGTTTCCATGAGTTGTTACTACATTTTGCTGAGAGAGACTGTGGCTTGGGAAACATAGGTCAGATTCACTTTCTACAAAGCACAGTGCTATTTTTGAGGCCTAAAGCATGAATACATATTCTCCGGTCTCTAGTGTTTTTATTTTCATGTATGGGGTGATATAGGAAAGGTAATCTCAACATTCAATGTATTTGTGGTTCATTTGAAAAACTCCTTAAATATGTATCTTCTCTGAATTCCTAAGCAAATGATAGGTAACCTTATGAAAATATTCATTTTTATAGTATTATTCCCTCATTTGGATATTGTATTATTATTGTTCTCTAGAGGAAGAGAAATGTATGTGTGTATATACATGTACCTATATACATTATATTTTTAAAGGGAAAATGTAAGGTTGACTTATAGGATATAATCATAATAGTCCGTGAACAGTTGTCTCTGTTCATGATGCTGGGTACCCCAGTAGTCCCAAAATGGCGTGTGTGGGGCCATCCCACCCCCCCTTTTCCCCAGAGTACTCTTGAGTAGGAGCAGCAGGAAATATTAGATGGACGTAAAGAGGGGAGAGAAACAGATAGAAAATACAGGATAGACACGGGAGGGCCTGGATCCTCATCCATCGGGCCCTGACTGTCTCTGCCAAAGGGTTTTTAAAGGAATGCCAAGGTGTGGAACAAAAGACCTCTCCCTAGCACAGCCAGCTGCAGACCATCTCAGACACCTGGTACTCAGGTCCGTGGTCTAATCACCCTCTTTATGCAGACCTGCTGGGTAAAGCCACGAGGAAACCTAAATGGGCTCCAACAATGGTGGGCGATTCCTGGAGAGCCACAAGTCTTCAGCCCATCTCAGAATCCCCGAGAAGCTGGTTCTAATTTCAGCTGAAAATCAACCCCAATAATAACAAGGTAGATGAACTTGTTAGCAAGAGTGAAGCCCGAGAGAGCCAAAAAGGAAAAGGTTGTTTTCTTCCCTCTTTTTATATGAGCTGCTACCAGAAAGTGCTGCCCACATTTAGGGTGGGTCTGCCCACTTAGTTAATGCAACCAACCCCAGAGACATGCCAACAGGCCAGCCTGGTGTAGGCAGTCCCCACCAAGGCTCTTTTCCCAGGTGACTGTAGACTGTGCCAGTTGACTGTTAAACCTAACCATCTCGGGTGTCTACATCACAAAAATTCCTTTCTAGTGCAACTGTTTCATCATCTAGATTAGATACCTCATTAATTCTGACAGCTCCCATACATCTTAAGTAAAAGTATTTTACCAATAATACCCTAAACAGTGGGCTAACAGGTTATGATGTCTGCACATGAAAAAAGTATGGCTGAAAGTTTTCAATAACGAGTGTATATTGAGTAAATATCTGTATTATCTTATTACATGTTATGAAGCAGACTATTTTAAAAAGATGTGTATTTCACAGGCAAGGGACTGAGGTCAAGAGGGGTAGGATGGCTTGCTCAGAATCAATAATAGTTAGATGTTGAGACTAA